TTTTTTTTTTTTGGTGTTAATCTGGCTAAAAAAAAATGATAGAAGAAAAAATTGATATTGCTGTCAATTTCCTGTATAAACTGTTCCGTTTGTTTCACTGATCTGATCCGTCGATGACATTTAACCGGTAGAATTCAATATTTTTTTGCTCTGATACAGGGCGACAACAGTTTTCCTCTTTTTTTTTTCGTCTCTAAGCTTTTCTCTTTGTTTGATTCTCCAAAGAATTGACAGCTGCAAACCGAGAAGATGAAGAACAAGAAGAAAAAGAAGAAGGAGAAGAGGAGGAAAAATAAGCATCTGTACCACTGATTATTTTTGGTATGCCTTAATCTGTATTAAAAATATTCAGAAATCTTTTTGTGTCGAAACGAAACAAAACAAAACAAAACAAAAAAAGCTGAAAGAGTAAGTTTAAAAAAAAAAAAACACAAAAAGCTGTAATGTTTTATCAATATAATCCTTAAGAAAAAGTAATATTTAAGTTATTTCTTCTTCAGTTTGTTTTTTGCACCTATTGTGCTTATTTATGGTACTTTGTAGCCTTAGAATACTTATTTAGCTACTAAATCTTTGCTAATTTTTTGAAGCCGTTTTTTTTTCTTGCTTAGTTCAGTGTCAATCTGATTGATTCAGCTATGTGGAATGTTGAAAATAAAGGGTTTAAGTTTTATGAAAGCTGATAATTCTGATAGCTTATTCTCAATAAATCAACAAAATCAGACATCAAAAAAAAAAAAACCGATAGATTGTTCTTTACAAATACATAAATGTTGTTACAAAATTAGTTGTTGCTTTCTCCTTTTTTTTTTTTTCACTTTATTTAATCACCAAAAATAAATTCAAATTTATGACTTTAGAATTGTGAAGACAAAAAAAAAGAAAAAAAGAAGATTTTTGTATTTTACAAATAGAACTAAGCACAAAATGACATAATGACCTTTAACAGTTCCATATTGGTATATCACTCTTTAATTATTAAACAAAAAAACGAAAATTAATAATAGATATCAATGTAAAAAAAAAAAAATTTAAACTTGGACGATG